CTCTCTCTCTCTCTCTCTCTCTCTCTCTCTCTCTCTCTCTCTCTCTCTCTCTCTCTCTCTCTCTCTCTCTCTCTCTCTCTCTCTCTCTCCGACTCGCTCCCCCCTCGTTCTATACCCAAAACTCTCGCTCGGCTCCTCCCGATCCTGGGGGGGCGGGCGCATACCGGTCGCGCGCACCAGGTCGTTTCGTTCCCTCCCGTGCTCCTGCGTACGCCTCCCTTCGTCTACCTCCCGCTTTTTATACTATCCTACCACCCCCTTTTTCATTACTTGCATCGGGAATGGCACCTGAATCAATTTTCTCTCAAATTTTTGACATTCCCGCCACTCTCCTCTTCCTATCTTCCTCTCCCACTCTCCCTTTCCTTGACGATCCTTGCCACTTTTCCCCAGCCAATCAAATTTCGGCCTCCGCCTACTACCTTCGTCGAGGACGCCCGTACCCTTGTCCTTCACGCTCCGATCCTTCTTCGGAGCTTCCCGCCTAGCTGTGTCCTTTTCTTAATGCTTCCCATTCTGCCCGGCCAGCCTTGTTTACAATTATCAAGAATTGCGAGATCGCCCGCTCTCTGCTTAACCGCTGGCTCGTGCGCACACCAGATGTGGCCTGTGCGTGTTTTTTTCCCCGAGCTCTGTTCATTCGACCCCACTTGGTGCCTCGTCTCCCAAGATCCGTCCGAGCCTTTTCTCACAGTTGCCCGTCCCCGACCTATTCTCTGGGCTTGGTGCATTCAGTCCCCTTCTACGCCTGATTTTCAAGAATCGATCGAGCGCCGTGCCTGCCCAACTGCGGCGTCAGTTTTCACTCACCGCTTCGGCCCCACCCCCTCTTGCCTATCACTCCTTTTCCCGTAGGTGCGTTGAGCCGTCGGGTCATTCAGCACTCATTTCGCTAGCTTTGTCACCCCCTCCCTTTTTCTGTACAGCCGGCTCCACGACTTTTCACGATATCCCAGCCGCTTCCCCCCTTTTTTTCCTTCACAGTTTCAAAGCAACGGAAGGAACCACTCACCGGTCACCGAGGCATCCCGTCCTTCGTGCATGAGCTAGTCTACCCGACTGATCGGAGCGCTCATTCCGAACCTGTACTGTTTGCGACGCCCCTACTCAGGCCAAGCTTGCTGATGCGTTGTCCTTTGATCAAAACCACTGCGGATCGCGGCGACTGACCTCCCCGTGACGGTACCGACCTCCGGCGACCAGACAGCTTCCGTGGGATTCTAACCGTCGTCATTCATCTTCATTCTTGCTGACCGATATCGCCCGATCACGCTACCCGCTCTTTCTCATAAGTCCCGAGTTGCGGGCCCTTTACCCGTCTGTGTCGATTCCGAGCTACCCCTCCTCTTTTTTTGAAGAGTTCGATACCGAACCGCAGGCCGGCTCCATCAGGCTCAAGGCTTCCTCCAACCCGGATTGTATCTTCGTCGTCCCCCGAGTTTGCTCTTCCTTTTCCGGAGTCCCAGCCCTAGCTTGTCCCTGGTTTCCTTTGTTCATCCGTGCAGGCCTTTTAGTCGTGGTGACAACCGCTAGGACCCCTCTTGGGCACCTTCTTTCGAGTCACATCCGGAAACCCTGTTTCGTGGCCCGCACAAACCCTCGCTTGCGACCCACGTGGGCCGCCCTCCCCCTGGCTTGTTCAAGCGTTAGTACCTATCAAAAAAATCACGATTGCTCCCAAACCCCTCAGGCCTCATACGCCGGCCCAAACAAACATTCTGAATCGAAGTAAATCATGCCAAAAAAATGTGTTTGGTGAAGAGAAAGAACGTCTGACTGGCAGACAGCCGCCCGACACCCAGCCCACACCCCAACTCTCGCCGTCCCCGACGAGCCTTTCCCCATAAAACCCCTTTTCTTAACCTTTGCCCCCACACGCTTCTTGTTCCCACGGTTCATATTACCTTCCCCCCTTTTTTATATTGCATCCTTCTTTAATTCTTTGGTTTCTGACCGTATTGCCTCAGTATGGCACAGTCCCCTTAGTCTCCTACTTGTTCCTCTTAACTATGGTACAACCTCCTTTTCGAAATAACGATATATGTGTCCTCTTAACTAAGGTTCAGATCCCTTTTGAAACCACGACTCTTGTTTTCGCTAACTACAGTACCTCACCCTTTTGGTATTTACTATACATGCTCTCTTTAACTATGGTACATCCACCCCCCTTTTTCTCTCAAGCGGCTCTATTCCCGTTTCCGCCTCCCTGTCTTTTTCTCGAGCCTCTTTCTCCTTCTCTTCCTTTCTTCTCTCTCACGTTTGGCCCTCAAAGCTTTCCTTGAAGCTTCCCTTCTCTCTCGCATCCCGTGGTTTCCTAGTTGCTCGGTATCGCTGTCATCCTCCCTTGGCCGTTTCAACCTTTTGGGGGTTTCTGGCAGGGGAGGTTTCCGAACCCTATACCCTCTCCTAGGCGGCCGAGAAG